TACCTACAACTCTCTCATAAGAGCCTTTTGTAACACCGGTAGATGGAATGATGGTGCACAGTTGCTTAGGGATATGATCACAAGGAAAATCACCCCGGACGTCATCACTTTCAATTCATTGATTGATAGTTTTGTGAAAGAAGGGAAGCTTGTAGAGGCTAAAGAGTTGTACAATGAGATGATTACTAGAGGTATAACTCCTGACACCATTACGTATAATTCTTTGATAGATGGGTTTTGCAAGGAGAACCACCTACATGAGGCTAATAAAATGTTGGATCTGATGGTTAGCAAGGGATGTGATCCTGATATCGTGGCTTATAATATCCTTATAAATGGAAATTGCAAGGCTAAGCGGGTTGATGATGGTATGAGACTTTTCCGTGAGATTTCTTTGAGAGGGCTGGTTCCTAACACAGTAACTTATAGCACTCTTGTCCAAGGGTTTTGTCAACTAGGAAAACTTAGCGTCGCCAAAGAACTCTTTAAAGAGATGGTTTATCGCGGTGTGCTACCTGATATTGTAACTTATGGTATTTTGCTTGATGGTTTGTGTGACAACGGAGAGGTAGAAAAAGCATTGGAAATACTTGAAAAAATGCAGACGAGTAAGATGGATTTTGATATTTGTATCTATAATATCATCATTCATGGGATGTGCAATGCTCGTAAGGTCTATGATGCATTGGATTTATTATGTAGTCTCCTTCTCAAAGGAGTGAAGCCTGATGTCAAAACATACACCATATTGATTTCAGGATTATGTAGGAAAGGCTCACTTTCTGAAGCAGACATGTTGTTTAGAAAAATGAAAGAGGATGGGTTTGCGCCAGATGATTGTACGTACAACACAATAATCCGAGCACACATCCGAAGTGGCCATGTAATTAACTCAGTTGAACTCATCGAAGAAATGAAGAGGTGTGGGTTCTCTGCTGATGCTTCCACTATGAAGATGGTTTCCGATATGTTATCGGATGGCAGATTGGAGAAAAGCTTTTTAGATATGCTTTCTTGAATGTCTTCGGTTTTGTATGCAAGAGATAAAGTCAGTTTACGTTTGTATTTTTCCTTGTAATAATAATACAAATGGTGATGGATACAAAATAAAAGAATTTGTCTCCTTTTTCTATCAAAGATTACAAAAATTTCACATGTTACAGTGTAAGATTTCCATCTTCTTGCATTTTTCTATACAACTCATCAGCTTCATGCCAAAGCCGTTTCCTACAAAAGCCTGAGATCATCGTAGTGTATGATACAATATCAGGTTTAACTCCATTAAAGGCGAGACTACAAAACAAGTCCCACGCATCTTCCACATTACCGGCTTTGCACATCCCGTGAATCACGATATTATACGTAGTAATATCGAGATCCATTCCGCTCTTTTGCATATTCTCGAATAACACCAATGCTTTCTCTACCTTCCCGTTATTACAAAATCCATCTAACAAAATGCTGTAGGTCCTAATATTGAGAGGCACGCCCCGAGAGTCCATCCGTCTGAAAACTTCTTGGGCAGCATCTAGTTTACCCATTTGAAAATAACCTTGGATAATAGTGTTGTAAGTAACTGTATCGCCAACTAATCCTCTTTGAGACATCTCGATGAAGAGTTTCTTCACATCTTCTACCCTTTTCGACTTGCAAAACCCGTTTATGAGAGTATTATAAGTCACAAGATCGGGGAAGCAATCCTTTGATACCATCAAATCAACCATATGTTTGGCCTCCTCTAACCGACCATGCATACAAAGCCCATTGATCATCGAATTGTAAGTAAAAACATCGGGTTCTATAGACCTTTGGATCATCTCTTCATACAATCTCTCCACTTCCAAAAAATTCCCATCTTTCACAAACGCATCGATCAATGCAGTGAAAGTGATTACATTCGGGACAACATTCCTCATCGTCATATAACTCAATAACCAAGCAGCATCGCTCCATCTACCAGAACTACAAAGACCCGTCACAAGCGCGTTATAAGTAACAGCATCCGCTCTAACACCGTCTTTCTCCATCTGATCAAACAGTTCCAACGCGTCATTCACCAATCGGTTCTTGCAAAAACTATCGATAATCGTGTTGTAAATCACAACATCAGGTCTACATCCAATTCCCTCCATTTTCACAATCAATGAAACAGCATCAAAAACTCTATTCCTCTGACAAAATCCATTGATCAAAGAGCTAAGCGTGACAACATCAGGCTCGAAACCAAGCTTTATCATCTTCCCAATAACAGATAAAGCAACAGAGAATCGAGAACATCGACATAAACAATTAATTACAATATTGTATGTATAAAGATCATGCTTGATTCCAAGAATCTCCATCTGATTAAAGAAAGAGATCACAAGATCAAATTTCTTCATTTTGGCGATTTTACTCAATAATTTAGTGAAATCAACAATCGAAGGTAGAGGATGAGACTGAATCATACGAAAAAGCGAATCAATTGGATCACTG